TAAGACACTCCTTCTTCATGTCCTACACCCCTTTTTGAGAGAAAGAAGCTTGGGATGCGGGATTTGTTGGCTTGGGACAACTAAAAAGAAGCACGCCTTTTTTTCATGTTCTCTACACCCCTTAGAGGTATTTTTGGTAGGCTAGGATGAATTTAGTATATTTTTGCCATGGGGACTCTTAGCCTTTAGGTTTAAGTTAAGTTTATATCTCCTTGTTGTAATTCCATCCAGATGCCTTCCCCAAAAGCTTATAAATAGAAGGTTTCCACTCATGTAATGGAGTTTAACATTTATGACAAGTGTGCGAGGTTTCTTAGAGTGTCTCATATCTTTGAGTGCCTTATCTTGAACCTTGGTTTAAGTGGCAGCAACCACCACTTATCTAGGGTGGCTCATCCCCTTGTGGCGTACCAACACTCCACCACTACCATTCTTCTCTTCATCTTTTTTTTCTTTATTTCTTCACACCATTTATGTATCCAATAGGTTGGTCCATTTTTTTAGTGTTTGTCTTTATTCTTTTCTAGCTTTTTTTCATCTCCTCCACCCCCCCAATCCTTGGAAATGCACCTTCACACCTAGATAGGCAACTATCTTAATGCTTAATGAGAATTTTCTTTGGTTTTGCTTACTTTATTGCTTAAATTTTGCACCTTATCTTTTTAAAATTATGCACCTTACTTTATTATATATCACTATCAACCTCCCCCACTAAAACAATAGGTGAATCCACACTTTGTGCCAATACAACAAAACCTAACTGTCACTATACAACAGGGGTAACTATGGGCCATACACTAGAAGGCTTGATGAAGCAGCTCACTCAGCATATGATAATGCAAAGTGTATAGTTCGAGCAGTGCATGACGACCACCAATAATGACATGCAAACCCAAATTGAAAAATTGGCCACTACCTTGAATTCTCTACAATAATAAAGTGTGAATGTAATTCCCTCACAAACATTAATTAATTTGAGGGAGAATGTAAGTGCAATCACCCTAAGGAATGACCGAAAAGTTCAAACAAAGCAGGAGAACCCTCAAACAATGATAAATTCAAGCTTCATTGATCCATCAGCAGGAAAACAAGAACACCTAGAAAGAACACAAGCAAGCTTATCTGAAGCCCAAACAACTACTGAAGTAAGTTCAACGAGTACTCCAAAGCAGCAACCTGATATGGTGAAAAAGGAGGTGACCAAGTTGTACCATTTGAGGAGATAAACCTGGGATCCAAGTTGTTTTAGCTTGTTTTCATTTGCATTTGTATAACATGATATCACATACAATAACAGTTACTGTTAACCGATATAGATACAGAGATCATAGAAAGTAAGACTTTCTACGTTGGTTGTATGATTAACTGACGTAGAAAGTCTTACTTTCTATGACGATTCATAATAACCGACATAAAAAGTTTTACTTTCTATGACCCTTGTATCTATGTCGCCTCTTTAACCGACGTAGAAAGCCTATTTTAATCGACATAGAAAGCCGTTTCTACAGTAGTGACATTGAGGACAATGTTAACTTCAAAAGTAGGGAATATTTGCATTTCATCTATGAGGTTTCATTTATATTTTGTACTAATTGTTGTGTAATGTTGTAGATTGATGGAGAGATACTTTGAAAAAGATAACCGGCTTGATCACGAGGAAGCCATGACCGAGTTACATTAACATTAGTTTGGATTAATTTCAAGGTGAACAAATCACCTAGGTGAGTTTTGAGCCTTATTCCTTCTTGTGTGCACCACTCATGATACAAGAACCTTCCAAAACTTAATTGATTTCTCTGTGACACCGATCGAGCACATTTACCATTAAAAATGATTTAGATCTTCTTTGTCTTAGCCATTTAGCCAAATAGTCTACCCTTACCTCAATTACCCTTTGAACCCACCTTTGATCCTTAACCTTTTCTTGGATTTAAACCTAAGAGTTAAAGCATTTCCAACCCAAAAACTACCCACACCCAAACTTAAAGGGAAGTAAGGAGCATAAACTCATTACAAAAATCCAATTTTTACTCGTCAGCAACAATTCCAGAAAAAGGAGAAGTGCTAAAGTACAAAAAAGAAGAAAACAAAACAAAAATCATTTTGCTTGTGTGTGTCAAAGTAATAAAGGAGCTCGAAAGGCACTCCAACACAAAAGTGGCAATCGTTTTCAAAGATACAACTAGAAAAAAGCTACAAGGTATATTGGTCCATGTTCTTTATTTTTCCTAAAGTCTTAATCTACTTACCTACTTTAACCTACCCTTAACCCCAACCACATTACAAGCCAAGAAAAAGTTCTATTGATTTGTGGTGGTATGTGTTCTAAAGTGGGAATTTAGAGATCTTTCAAGTCTATGATAAAGGATCATGTCATGATGTGATAATGAGTGAAATTTTCAGCCTCAATACTCGAGAGAGTAGAATAAAACTAGACTATGAGAGGATGTTCCCTTGAATTGATTCATACTCGACCATGATGATACTTTATGATCTTAATCTTTTTTATTCTCTCACTTTTGATTGATGAAGTTTTTCCTGACCACTGTAATTTTTAGGATGTCACTAACGTTTGCACTAGTACCCATCTTTGCATTACATGTATGCATTCTTTTCTTTCTTTTATCTTTTTCTTGGAAGTGTAAAAGAGCAAAAGTGAAGAGTATTTTATATATATCATTTTACTCTTTATTTTTTTATCTAAGAGAATTTTCTAAGCTTAATTATTTTCTACATAAATCATACATTTAACATGTTTTCATTAAAAACATAGCATAATTTAATTTTTCTTAATTAGTTGAATTTGGCATAATTTTAGCATAAAAAAAATACATGCATACATCCACAATACATATTTCTTTTTTGTAGGAGAAAGATAATTTGATATGGGCCAAATTAATGGAAATAAAGGTTCAAATTGATGCAGTTGAGTTTCACTCTTCTCGGAAGCCCAACTTTGCTTATGGAACCAACTTGCGGAACATTACGAATGAAAATTTAGAATCAAGCACATTAACTATTATAAGAATCTAATTTAGTCGAATTAAAAGATAGTGAGAATCAAGAATAAAATGCAAATCAACACTAAATCACTCAAAATAGGAAATAAATGAATTATTTCCTTCAAATCAGTTCTAGAAATTTCTCCTCACGATAATTCAATTTTGCAATTTGGGAAAAAATTAATTTTATTATAATTAATTTCAGGCTTAATTTCTCTTGTTCAGTCCCCTATAAAAAAAAGTTTGATAAGAGCATAACATCACAATCTCCTATTCTAGGACGAATCGTTGTTTTGTCTCATCCCTGTTTTCTTTTTCATTCTCATTTTTTAGTTTGTTTGTTCTCTTTTATTTAATGTGGAACTTCTATTGAATTTTCTAGTTTATATTATTTTGTTTACTTTATTCATTCAGTGCTCAATTTAATATTTTTTTATTTAATTATTTAGAATTTTTATTTTATTTTGGTATTCCATTTACTTCAATTTCGATTCATATTTATCAATTGTTGATTCCAATTTTATTTTATTTTGTTTTATTTTTTTTTCCAATTTTCTAATTTTATTTTACTATTTTTTATTCCAATTTACAACTTAAATTTAAGTTTTTCTCTTTTGATAATTTTAAACTCAATTATTGCACTATTTTATTTTAAAGCAATTTTTTATTCTACATTTGATTCTGGAAATTTTTTAATTTAATTGAAAATACTCTATTTTAATTTCATAAATTCTACTTAAATTTAATTATTGTTATTATTCCACTATAATTTGATTTTAATTTTGATTATTCTACATCAATTTAGTTTTTAAAGTTATATGCTTAACTTTAAAAATTGTACTTATATCAAGTTGGGTTTAGTCATGTCAATCTAATATGGATCAAACCTAGATTGGATTGGGTTAAACCAGCATAAGTTGACTTTAGTTAAGTCAGGTTGGTCTAGATCAAATCAAATTAGATTGGATTAAGTTAGGTCAAATATTAGTTTTATTTAAATTATATTTTTAAATAAATATTAATTTAACTAATTAAAATTTAAATTTAAACCAAATATAAAAAAAATTATATCTATTTAATCTAGGTAAATAGATAATTTTAGATCAATTATATGTTATTAGATCTAAATCGAATATGGATTGAATATTTTAAAATTCAATTCATACACCACTGTTTCTAGAGCTTGTGGCCGCAAGTAGTAGGTGTACACACAATGAGAGATGACGGGGTTCCAGGTAGTGGAGTGGGACAGTGAAAAAGCTCAACTAAAGAAAATAAACTTATTGAACTTAACCAAGGTTACAAAAATTTTCGTTAATTAGATCACTCATGTACGTAGTCGCGTTAAATAATATGTTTGATAAATACCAAATCTCTTGTATTGATATGAAATCATAATTTATAATTTAGCATTATAAACGGGCATCTGATGAATAGTTTAATATTAACTTTAAATATCACGACCCCATTAAAAAAATCAACAACATAATACTTTAGGATATTATATTTTAAAATATCGTGCCAAGTTTTTATACGTTGCCAAACATAAATAATCTTTAAAAAGAACCTTCAATATTTTGAATCTTTAAATTAAAATTGATGTTTTGTTAGTTTTCGGTTAACTAAATGGTAGACTAAAATGCACGAGAACATAAAACTATTAATGGAGATTAGAACTTTAATCTTCGATAGACTTTAATAAACATAAACTGACAACGAGTGTGTTTCTTGGAAACCAAAAAAGAATATTATTTCTTTCTTCCAAACTCGTTGAATTATAATCAAACACCAATTAACCTGGACGATCCCTGTCCATTCGTTCTTTCCTACAAACGAAGAAGCCACATCACATGTAAGGGTCATTGAGGGGTTACTTACATTTTGGCAGATTATAGTATCACACTTGAACTCTCTCACTCGGATACGTAACTTTTAATATTTAATACAAAGATTTTAAGAAAGAGCATGACTCTTTCTTCTTAGCACATCTTCCCTCGATTAATCCATGTTTTGGATTGCTTGCATCACTGCTTGTTTCACCACTTGTGCATCAATGCTTTCATTCTCTTGACTCTGCAAAACCAAAACGTTTTTAGAGTATTACAAGGTATCAAAAACCAACAAGTTAACTCCCTGACAAAAGGTGGATAATGTAGCTGTCTAGTTCACGAGGAATGAAACACTTCTAATAATTTTTTACAACGATTTTCATTTTTTTTTTATCTTTTTCCATCACATCACTTATCTAATCCTGCTGTGTTTCTTCTTCTTATCTCTGTCTTAAATTCTATAATTTGTTACAATAATTTTATCTGTAATAGTATCGTTATTCTTGCTTTATTGGCGGATACGCGACCCATGCAACTACAGAACACGATTAAACGAATCCATACACGGGAGCCACACTCATTATTATGTCAGTACTTTGGACTTTGAAGCTAGAATTTTAGATATGTCGCTCAAACCAAAATTGTACAACTCACTCGTGATATTTTTCCTCTTTCTGAATCTACTATTTTTATTTTGCAACTATATGAACTATTGCATAAGTTTCACAGGTGATGTAAATTGTAGCCTCATTAGCTAAGCCATGAATTGTAAACGGATTATCCAGGGTTTAAATTATTTAGAAAGGAAAAAAAATTCATACAAGAATTATTAATATGCATATAAAAATAAAAAATAAACTAGATTATGTGTAGGTAGATGAATTTCAGAAATAGCTTATTCTAAATAACTTGTAACCAGGTTTTAGATGCTTGAAATATTCCAAATAAGGGGAAAAAACATATATTAAGATTTAAAAAAAAAAGAAGGAATTAAATCATGTATATCCTTGTGTGTTTATATTGTCTTACTTCTCCTCCAACAGCTTCAAGCTGGAAAGTGTCTTCACAAGAAACCCTAGCATCAAGTACATCAAGTCCCAGTTCTTCGAAGGCGTCGAGTATTGCCACAAGCATGCCGGGGCAGTTTCTTTCTGAAAACACATTAATGAGGAAACCCCTTTCTAGGGTTTCTACGGTGACCTATGAAAAGTTTGCAAATATATAGAAAAAGTTAACTATGTGTTATGTAATATAGTGTACGAATAAAGAATATAACTCATGTAACTGATGCATATAAAGGATGGAATATCCTTGTGATCCTCTTCAATAAGATTTCTTTTCTTTTAAAAGGATATATAAAAACAATAAGCACCATGGGTAGGTCGTCTTGGGAGATTGATGATTCAGCGGGTCCAAGCTCAGAGTTCAATCCATCCACTTTTTGCTTCAGCTCCTCTATGTATCTTGTGGCATCCACGATAATTGAGGCTTTGTTAACCTGCAAAATTAACCAAAGTTAATGAAATTGTTGATTTAAGCTCTGAAGCTAACAAGCCAAAGTTAATATGCATCATATATTATAATCAGTGTGAAGAGTCAATGAATTACAGCACTAGAATTTGTGACCGATCGAAGTTGTTGCAACTTGCGTTGCGTTGATGCTTTTTTTCGCCTCCTAGAATCCATGATTCTTCCAACTTTCCTCTAATTGATTTTGAATTTTGGTTTCTTGATGCCTTTCCTTTCCCATCTCAGACTAAGGGGCTCTTTTTTTTTATATAGGAAGGTTGGCGTAAATAATATTTGTGATCTCTTGTTTGTTTCCCTGACGACTACCTACATATTCCCCACAACAAATTATGCTTTTGAAAACTGAATTACGATTTTGGCCTTACCATAGATTTTTTTTTTGAAGAAATTAATATACCCAAAGTGTTAACAAAATAATATTTTATGTACAAATGCAAATTGGAATAATATTAATATTTGTAGAGTGGTCATCTATTATCATGCTTCCAAACATGCACCATAGCCATATATATATAATGGGTTTCTTTTTCTCTTTCTTTTTTTCGTTTCCTTTTTCTTTTTTCTTTACACCCCAGTTGTTGTTTTATTGATCTTCCTTTATGATACATCCTATTCCAGATTCTAGCCCCAAGGACTTAGACAAGTATATAAAGCCAAAGTATTATGGTGGCACTAATCATAAACAACTAAATGCAAATGTCAGTACCTCATTCGTAAACTTTCTTTCACAACACTTTGTTTTTCCTTTTTGAGGATCACTTTGTATGGTTTTAAACTGCCAAAGTCTCACATAAACATGGAGAGAAAAAGAAAGTGTGTGGAAAAACCTCCCCAAACATGCGTTGAAATCAAGAGGCTAGGTAGGTTAAAATGACAAAATTTGTAGAGCAAGATAGGAGGATCACCTTGTACGAAATTAAGGAAGAGTTACTAGCTTAATTACTATTTTGTTCACCCTTTTTACATAAAAATTAATGATTATGTTGATAATATATACATTCATATTCACTTTCTTTGCTTTATTTCACTCTAAGCAACATGGAATTAATTGCTTTCTAGATTTTTTTTTTTTTTTTATGTTTCTGTCCTTTTTACCAAGAGCTCATTTTGTGAAAGCAACCTATATCTACCGCTTCAGTTTACGTTTTATTTCTTCCTATGTGTCATTTTAAACATGCAGACAAATTAACAATGCTCAAATCTCACCATAATTTTAGATGTATATATTCGCATAAACAAATAATGATAAAAAATTTACATAAAAAAAATATTATTCAAATCTCCCATTCGGTCAATGAAATCCTAAATATTTATCTTTGTTATTAAAAATATATAGATTTTCAAAGATGGGCACTTAAAGAGGAAAGTTGGTAAAAAATAATAATAATCATCAACAAATTTAGCACTACAAACGCAATAACCTAATCAATTGAAGCAAACAATGCGTTGTCACGAAATCTTTTAGATAAATATCATTAACGATTTAATTTGTACATATATTTTTTAATTAAATTGATAAAAAAATTTAAAAAAATTTATGGGTTAAAAATGTCTTATTAAGCGAGTTTTTTTTTAATTATAGTTTTTAATAAATGTTAAAAAAATAAAATTTATATTTAAAAAAAAGATATATTGTTTTAACTTGTGTCAAATCTTTAATTTGAAGATTTTTTTTTGTGTGTAAATTTTACGATGTTTGTAAAGTAATTTTGATTGATTGGGGGATCTCTGGACTAATTTCACATTTGTGAAAACACTTCTACATAATTCCTCTAGATTTTTATTTTTATATAATTTTTTAATGGAAAAAATCTCTTTAATATTTATTTATACATAGATTGATGGATGGGAAAGGGCATTTGAGAGAAAAGAGCATAATAAGAAAATAAAAATGTGAGAGGGGGAGGGTAGAGTGGAATGAATGAATTATAGAAAGAGAGAGTGGAGTGGAATGAATGGGAGCCCCGTGAGAGGGGTTTTGGAGGGATTGACAGCTAAACAACGTTTGACGCATCCTTCGCAGTTATCGATGCTTATGATGGATTGGAATCCCTTCATGGCTTCTTCCGCTACTGCCAATCCCAATCCAACCCCATGCATCTCTATAATCCATTCCCTCTGTCACGTGCAGATTCCCTCTCCGCGTTAAGCCCACAACAATTCTTATTCATAATTTATATATAAATACTAAGTATATCATTCCTCATTCTGCACGTGCCCTTCTCCTTTTTTTTATTATTATATTACCATCCCTAAATAATCACTAATTTATCTATATTATATTATATAATTTATACGAAGTAATAAGTTAAAAATTTGGTTATCATAATCATTTAAAATAGTAACAATATCCTAAAATTTAAGTTATAATAATAGTTTTCAAATTGCATTAATCATAAAGTAATTGTACTCACAATAAAAAATTCTCTAATTTAGGTTTAGACATCCTTGAATATAGAATAAGAATATTAATTATTATTTATTGTTATTTTATTTAATTTATTTATTCATTTTTTTTCTTTTTTATATTTTTCACTTAAGTATATTTATAAAAGAAAGTAAGAGAATTTAAACAAAATAATAATATAATAATAAAGAAATTTTACAAAAATATTATAACAATAAAAAAATATAAGAACTAATCACTTATATTATTATTACAACGAAAATTTAAAAAATTATAGATATTTTTTAATGAAAAATAAATAAATAAATTAAATATTATTTTCAAGGATGATCATGTTGTTGTTGTTGTTATTATTATTATTATTATTATTATTATTATTATTATTATTATTATTATTATTATTATTATTATTGTAAATCTATAAAGGGAGAAATCGCATAAAATATTTCTAAGGTACAGTTAACAAACCTTGAGCCTTTTGGCATATACTTGCAATTCAAGCATATTATTTTTTTTATTTTTTTTAACATGGAGTAAATTTTGATTTCTAAATGCTGATTCTTTCGTAAGTGTGTGTTTGGATGATCGTTGGTAAAATTAATTTTGAGTGAAATTGATTTTGAGTGAAATTGGTAAAATTAAAATTAACTTTTGAACCAAAATGAAGTTTGGAAACTTGATATCAAAATTGATTTTGAGTGTATAATTACTAAAACGACTTTTAAGTGTTTTTGTGTGCCAATAAATTACTAATGCTGGAGAGCACAACGATATATATGATAAAGTTTAAGTGCAGCTTTTAGAATTGATTTCTAGATAGTGTAGAAGCTATTCATATATACATCAGTTTTAAATTGATCTAAGACAACCAAATTGATTTCATTGTAAAATCCAAAAAAGTTAGTCGAGTAGTATTTGATGCGTATCCAAACATGACCTAAATCATTAAAGTGATATCGTAATGAAATATTAAATTTGCATTAAATGATTCAATTATATACTCCGTGAGATAAAATAATTAATAAAAGTAAGTTCCTCACAAAATAGAGTGATTAATAATCATAGCATAATTATAACTTGATATCAAGTGAGCAAAAAAGTCGTTAAATAAATATATAAATAATATATTTAGAATAAAAAAAAAGTGACTGAACTGTTTTTTAAATTAGAAACATTTGGTAAAATGGACTGTATAATTGACCAGTATTTAATTATTTGAACTGACACTATTCCAACTTGATATTTTAATTTGTTATTTATTTATTTTTTACAAATAAAGTTTATAGGAACCAATCCTATACTAGGCACGACCTATCTAAAAAAATTCAATTATACGTGGTTTGATATATACTTTCTGTGAAACCGGCGATTTTGATAGTAAAATAAAACGAGTCAATGTGTCCTCTCATTGTAATGTTAAATATGGGATGCCACAGAGGTTATAATTAAAATCGGTTATAAATCTTAATTTAGCCAATGTGGGTTGATGAATTAGATCATCAATATTTTTTTTATATAAATTATATATATATATATATATATTAATTATATAATTAAAATGTAAGTTTTTATTTATTAATTAATATTTTTATTAGATATATTAAAAAATATTATATTTATATATATATATATATATATATATTAAAATAACTAATTTTAATTAATAATTTAAAAAGGAAAAAAAAATAGGAGTTTATATTTGATAGTTTCACTAAAGTGATTATGTCGTAAGTACCAATGTAAAACCCTGTTAAAATTGTAGCACGTCCTAGGAGTGGGGGAATAAGAAAAGTTGTCCTCTTCTTAAACTTTATTCCGCCAAAAAAAAAAAAAAAAAAAGTCAAACAATCTATTACTTTTCTGAACTAATCTCTGGAAACAATTTACTTTAGTTTTCACAGTAATTAGAAAAATTTGCTCCTTTTATTTTTCTTATTAACCCTAAAGCTTATCAGTCCGTGCAGATACATATTGATGATACCTTGTTTGCTCGTTTCAAAAACCAACAGTTAAGAACTTTCTACGCCATTTATCATAAAAGCAAAAATAAGAGTGAGAGAAACCTCCAGAGCATATATTTTTCTTTATAGGCAAAAAAGAAAATATATATTATAGAAGATACCGAAGAATGGAGCATAAAATACTCTTCAAGCACCATGAAATTAAAAATATAAAAATAATATTTTTGAAAAATTATTATTCATATATAATTAACAATATAATAATAAAAATATAATATAAATATTATTATTAATATTATTATAAAAAAGTTGTCCATGTTATTATATATAAATTTTTTTTTATCAAAATATTATTATTTCAAAAACAATTCAAGAGTTGCTGCATTTGGTCAAGCTCATGGATTAGCCTAATCTGTTTATTTTATTATTTCTCGTTAAATCACGTAAGAGGTTTTATATTTCTGTAAATGGTCTTACATATACAGTAGCTTATGAAATGTACTGTATTTTATGTCCGTCTACCTTCTCAGGTACTAAAATGTTTATCATTAATAAAATAATAAATAATTTTAATTACTAGGTTATGTTTAATGTACAATAACTAATATTCAAATAGATATTAATTACTATCTATTAGAATTTTTGTAAGAGCATTATAAGTTATGCATATTAAAATTGAGAAAATATTTACCATTATTAACTTAAAAAAGTGTTTTTGCATGATATTTCTTATCCGCTCTAGTGTTTTGTAGAGTTCGGCCATGTTGATTTTCAAGAAATTACAGCTTGGATCGCGATTGTATAATTCTCATCTTGAATACTTGGCTGTATTTTTCTTATTTTAATCTTTAGCAAGATCATTTGCTTGACAAAGTATATCTCATACCACGTTATCATAATTATGAAGAAATAAAGCTGTATATGGAATAAACTTTTTATAACCGTTATTTTAAAATTTTTATATCAGTTTTATAATCAATATATAAAGATAGTAAAACGGGTTAAACCTTTGGCGCGTCGAGGTGGGACAGGTTAACATGTAATTACGATGAGCTACAAATTTTGGTCTGTCATGTCAAAGATGGATTGATGGACTTGTCTCGTGATATTTTTTATTTTATTTTATTTTATTATTTTTAAATTAATTTTTTTAATAAATTTAATAATAAGATTATCATTAATTTGTTAATAATTTAATATATATATATATATATTAAGTTAATAATATAAATTGATATATTATTTTAATAAATTATATTTTAGAATAATTAAATTTATATAATAAATAATAATAAATACATGTACGTAAGAGTAAAAATTTATTAAATATTTATTATTTATATTGAAAAATTCAAATATCTAAAATGAAAATTAAATTATATTTGTTTATTTGATAAAATTTCACATTGTTCTTCACTTGAGTAATTCTCACATCTTTCATTCAAAATAATTAATGTTCAGGATCAAATGTAATATTTGAATATCTCTACATTTTTTTATCTTTGTCATTCTCTTCCTCATCTTTAACACATGAAATTGAAAAAAGAAAAAAATTAATAAAAAAGATTATGAAAATTAAAAATAAATAATATTTGAATTAAATGAATTACCTTCATAAAAGTTATGTTTCTAATTTAAGTACAAATTATTGCTTCTACATTCTCGAGAGACGATTTTTATACTTATTAAGAATCCTAGAACCAATAATGAATATAGATTCAGAAGCAACTATAGTAATAGGTATGCTTAACAAATCCCTAGCCAATAATGAAAGTTCATAAAAACATTGGCTAGTATTCTTCCACCATTGTAGAACATCCATATCTTCGTAAAATCAAAATCCAATGTTGGCTCATCCAAATATACATCAAGTTGTTTTATTCCAATTCTAGATGTAGCTTAAAGCTTGTACTTTTTTAATTCCTAATATGATAAATAAATAAAAAAATTAAAAATATTAATTAAAAATTCATGAAAAATAATAGACTTGGAGTAATTAACTTACATCAAAGAGACTTAATTTTAAGGATAAAATATCAACATGTTTGCGCTTCAAAACATTTGAAGTTATACTTTTGCTACAATATTGAGAGAAAAGTATGTATAATTTTTTCTTTATTTTCTCCAACTTTATTTCACAATTAAGTGGATCAATTCTTTCATAACAAAATCTTAATGTTTCCAACTTCATCCTTAGGTCTAAAATTGCACAAAATGCAAATACAACATTATATTCATCCCAATATTTATAAAATTTCATCCTCATTTTTTCAGTCATGTCCCTTACAACTTCATCTTCATCTTTTGCATTTTTCATTAAAAGGCACTGAATTTTCCAAACTTGTAAAAAATACATATTGGAAGTAGGATAACTTGTAACTGAAATTAAAGTAGTTATGTCATAAAATGGTAACAAGAAAACACTAATCTTTTTTGCTCTTTTTCATTCTTCTTCAGAAGGACAATACTTATAGTTTTTATCCATTAGTTGTAAGCTTCCAAAAACATGTTTGTATTTAAGAGCGCTTTGAAGCATCATATAAGTTGAATTTCACTTTGTAGGAACATCTAAGCACAACCCACTTGAAATATCACTGTCACCAAAATTTTAAAGGCATCGTTTAAATTTAATCATTCTACTCTTTGAACCCTTAACATATTTTATGCTTTCCCTGATTTGATCCAATGCATTACCAAGTACCTTCAATCCTTCTTGAACAATCAAATTTAAAATGAGTGCATAACAACGCATGTGAAAGAATTCACCATCACATATCAACCAATTTTTCAAAACAAATTGACTTTTTAATGTCTTTTGCAAAACATCATTACTAGAAGCATTATCCAAAGTAATAGAAAAAAAATCTTTTTCTCCATTCTCCAATCATGCAAAAATTCATTTATCTTCTTAGACAACTCAAATCCAGTATGAGGTAGAGGTAAATGGCAAAAGTTAAGAATCTTGCTACTTAACTTCCAATTTAAATCAACATAATGAGCTGTCAAACTTATATAACCTTCAATAGTACAAGATGTCCATAAATTAGAAGTTAAACAAATCTTACTACAAATGATAGTCAACTCTTCTTTAACTAAATTCTTTTCTTTCATAAATATTCTTAATACACCGCTCTTAGTAGTATTCCTAGAAACTAACATTGCATCAAGATTCAAATAATTTATCCAAGTCTTTAGCTCTAGATAATCAACAAATTTAAAAGGTAAACCATTTCGAATAATTAAATTAGCACACAACTCACGGGACACTATCTAATCTTTTTTTTTTACTTCAACTTCCCTTTCAGGTGTAAAATAATTTGACCTACATCTTCAGTTTTGATCTTGTCACATTTTTCAATATGACACTTTAAGTGAGAAGTTCCATATTTTTTTCCACCAATTACATATTTTTTGTTACAACCATTGCACATAACTCTTTCTTTTCCATCTTTACATACACCAATCTTAGTAAAAAGCTTCCAACAATAAGATGTGTTAGATTTATCCTTCTTGATGTCTGACTTAACACTTTCAATTTCATTTTCATTTTCAATATGTTGAAACTTAACCTCATTCTCAATTTCATTTTCATTGACGGCATCATCAAGACTACAAGTAGGTTTTCTAATTGAACCATCATTTCTTGTTTAAAATTAAAAAAAAAAACTTCATAATTTTTTCTTACTTAGAGATTTCAACAAAAACACAAATAGAAAAATATAATAAATAAGTGAATCGTGAAACCTTAAAAAAGTAATAAATATAAAAGAGAATAAAAAGTTATGAGGTATATATCTCATACCACATTTTGAACATTAATCATCATGATTATGAATAAATCATTAGAAGTTTGAAACTATATATGGAAGAAATGCAATGGAAAAATGAGACACTAGTGTAAGGAAAACTTTTTATAACGGTTATTTTAGATTTTTTATGTCAATTTTACAATCGACATAGTCATAAACGACATAAAAAGTATAATTTTTTATGTCAATTGTTAAATAACCAACATAGTAAGTAATTATTATTTCGATTCTTAATATAACTGTTATAGAAAGTATCGTGTTAATTTTTTTATATATAGTTATATTTCTTACAATAATTTTATCAAACTCGTTTCAATACAACAACAAATTTCGAAAATTAAACACAAGTATTATCTACATACAAAAAATAATTAAGCATAAAATGTAAATAATTTCACTTAAGTTTGATGACAAATCACTTAAAAAAAAACAAATCATAATAACAATTGCAAGGAAACAAATGGAAAATGGGAAAGATGAAGAAGATAAAATTAATATGGAAAATTAAAATTTAAACACTTTTTATGTTGGTTCCATTGAATTGTCATAATAAGTACTTTTGTATCAGTTCAATTTTGAATCGTCACATTAAATACTTACTATGGCGATTCAATTTTTAAATGACAGAAAGTAATTCATATTTAAAATTAAAAAAGTCATTTTTGATGTCGGTTAAAAATTGAATAGTCATAATAAGTACTTACTATGACAATTCAATTTTTAACCGACATATAAAGTGACTTATTTAAAATTAATAAAGTTACTTTCTATGTCAGTTCAAAATTGAATTGTCATAATAAGTACTACCTATGATGATTCAATTTTAAACTGACATATAAAGTATTTTTTATGTCGATTAAAATTTGAACAGTAAAAAAAAGTTTTAATTACAAAATTGTCATCGTCCAACTTATTATGACAGGTGAATTAGAATTGTCATAATAAATCGTCATAACATGAAGAGGAAACGCAATCTAATCGACCTTCATGACAGAATCGACAAACTTCTATTATGAAGTAATGCCCTTTCAGCTAAAGAATGTCGGTACAATGTATGAGTGCCTAATGGACAATTTTTTTTGGAAACAAAGCGATTGAAACATGGAAGTAAATGTATACAACATGGTCGTCAAATCCACTAGTGTCGAAGAGCATGTTTTGGATCTGAATGAGGTTTTTCAAGCATTAAAAAAATTAAATATGCGTCTGAATCTGGAGAAGTGTGTATTCGAGGTAGAAGGGGGTAACTT